GGCGCAGCTGCCCGGTCTGCAATCCTCGGACACGTCGGGGTCCTCTTCGTCCTCCAGCTCGTCCTCCAGCTCTTCCTCTTCCTCCTCCGGGCTGCGGCGGAAGGGCAGCCGCGACTGCTCTGTGTGCTTCGAGAGCGAAGTGATCGCCGCGCTGGTGCCCTGCGGCCACAATCTCTTCTGCATGGAGTGCGCCAACCGCATCTGCGAGAAGAGCGAGCCTGAGTGCCCAGTCTGCCACGCCGCGGTCACGCAGGCCATCCGCATCTTCTCCTGAAGGCTTCCGCGCCTGCGCGCTGCGTGCACTGGGAGCTTGCTCCCCAGCGCCCGCCAGCCGGCCTCTGTGCATCCCACCGTCCCTTTTTCGCCCACCCCGCACTCTGAGATCCGAAGGGAGCTTGGAAAGCTGTAGTATCCGCTCACTTTTAAAATGTAATTTTTGAGACAAAGGAACTTGCCAGCATATCTGCATCGAGAGTACTGTAGCCTGGGAAATATGAACCACCCGAAATGCATGCTCTATAAATAATAGGAACGGCGACATTCTAGTGATGATAGTTTTTACACTGTACTTAATAGGAAGCTTCCAAAAGAAGAGAACCCCACAAGTTTTCCATTTTCTTAAAGTAGAAAAAATACGAACAGTGACGATGGAGTGATAATACTCGTGCTATGGAATGTGTGGACTGTCTCGTGTGTTCCCCTCTGTGGGTGGATTCCTCCGATGCTCATTGTGGGACACAAGTGCATCCTTTTTGAATGTTCGTGGAAGGGCCAGGAGTTCCTGTGAAACCAGGATACTGCAGCTTTATTAAAGAAACTGTAACATATCTCTTATATATTAAAAACCTTTAAAAGTTTTAAAGAGAAATTGCATTAATACAGATTGAAGTATTTTATTCTTTTTTGACTTGAAAAATTATATTTCATATTGCAAAGATGTTTACAAGTATTTTAATTTAAGTTCAGTGAACTTTTTTGTAGCTGGGTTAAATCTTTTTATTTTAGTATGGCCTTATGGCAAAGAACACTGTATTATTTTAATAATCACACAATTGTGACGGAATTACAAACCATAAAATGTGTAATGTTTTGAGCAGTATTCTGTTGGGATGGAGATTTTATAGGTTCAGACAAATCTTCTAGATCTGCTTCACCCAGCATATTTTCTATTCAGTGATATAAAGCATATTTTATTCTATATTATTACAAAAAACGGAAATGTATAAACATGTCAAAAGGAACTGTTGATGCTTTCTAACATTTGTATAAATAGAATTCAGTGCAAGTTACAAAAATTCTGTTGCACCACTATAGTTTTAGTATTTCTATTTTAATACATTTGTTTACCACTTGTTTATGTATATGTAGGTGATGTTACTTGAGCTTAAATGTACTTTACTGAGCAAAGTTTAAAAAACAAAGTATATTTTATTTTATGATAAAGGGCCTTTAACCTCATGGTCAAATACTAATATTATATTTGCTGAGACAAGATTTGAAATTGTATCAAGAGTTTTATTTTTCTGACATTTAAAGTTCTACATAATAAAGGTAAAACTTAAGTAATGGTGCTACTTCATTTTTTAAGTATTTCTATATAAATAAAAATATTGAAAATCTATCTTGTGTGATTTGTGATTTGAATTTTTTTTTTTTAAGAAAAAGACCTTTGGAATCTAACTATGTAAAGAATCACTTTGAAGTGACAGATTGAACTATATAACTTCCAGACGTACTATGTGAGCTATTTTATCAGCAGACTGGGCTTTCATTAGAGACTAGGAGTGTGTTTTGTTGGATGGCTGGTTGTGGAAAGTAGTATTTAAAAAAAAATGACAATATCTACTGACCCATGGACCTACTTTTCCAAACAGAGTAGATGCAGTGCCTAGGGCCTGTGATATTTTAGGGGGCCCAGAAAAATGTTTTTGTTTTAAAATTAGAAATAAAGGAAATGGAAATACTCAAGGGGAAAGTTTCGGTTTTCAGTTTTCAGCCTCCTAAAACTTATCAAAAATTTGTCTGAAACACTAAAGAAATAAAACACCAAAATCAATTTCAATGTGGGCATAATTGTTGAAAAGGTCCAACCAAGAAGGCTGAAGTGCCCAAGTAGGGCTCAGGAAAGTACTAGTCTGGGTCGGGAGAGCGCAGGATGTCTAAGGCCCTGTGCCTGCTGCAGAAATGTCTCTGCTCTGTGGTGAGTTTCCATCCAGGCTGGCCTTCTGGGAACAGCTGGAGCAGGGGGAAAGGACGGTGTTTTTGTTTGCAGAAGGCTTGCTGGACTGAGCACAGGGTCTTAACAGGCTGTCACTTGCTGGGCAGGCTAATTCATGTTGACAGCCTATGGTGTTAACTGTTTGTTGTTGTTTGAAGGAAGTTTTTGTTTGCTTTGGCAGGCTACACCTGTTCCCTGGCTCTGGGGCTTTGTCAGGGGGAGGAGCCCTGTGCTTTCCCTTGACCTGAACTTTGTCTTCTAGAGATCACTTAGGAATGACCAGACTGGGCCACTGACTTCCAGAAGATTTTTTGCCCAAGCAGCCACTGGAGAACAGTATTTGACTGCATGGTGGCAGGCGTTTATCTTCATCTCAGCAGGTAACTTGGGAGAGAAAGCAGTAAGGTCCATTGATGGTCCTCATCCCCCTCGGTAGATAGTTTCCTTTGGAAATGGAGTTCCTGCTTCTGCATGTCTGACTTGTTTAGTTTCTGTGATACCCTGTCAAGGCAGCAGCTTTGGGGTCCAGAGAACTCTGGAGAGTGCTCTGAGTGTTCAACCCCCTTTGCTTGACCCTCAAGGACAGGAATAGTGGAGGCCTGGCAGGAGCAGTGTCAACAAGGCCAATCCCCCACCTTTGCTCCAGCTATCTGGAAATGCCTAAGACAACCAAGATTCTCCCCACACTCGCTTTCTTTAGTCATGTAAGCTGCTTTTCTGCTTTAGCAGAATACTACAGATAATACAAGGAAACATCAAAAGCTGTGATAGTTGAGTTTCCCTTGCACCTCACACCAAAGCCCACCCCAAATTCATATAGGATTTTTTTGTGCTCCATATGCTGCTTTGGTAAATTAAAAAAAAATATATATGTATTTTCTGGCAGTGGGGATGGAACCAAGACCTTTGTACTCAGCTATATCCCCAGGTCCCTGATCTTGCAGTCTGTAAGTTACCTTGGCTGGGCTTGAACTTGTGATCCTCCTGCTTCAGCCTCCCATAGTGCTAGGCTTATAGGCACGTACTATGATGCCTAACAAAATTGGATTTTTTTAAATGCTGCTGACATCCCTGTAGAATGGCCTGTGTTATTTCAGTGAGAGGGTCCCTTTGTTGATATGAAACTCAGGGATATATTATTGGTATAATTAGCCTCCTGGAGAAGACAGATTGGACACATGGGGACATGCTAGTGATATTAGGTGGTAGCTTGTGGTGCAAGTAAAGCCTTTTTCCCATCCTCCAGCTTTCCCAGGTGACTCCTGTGGACCACTAGCTGTAGAAGTGACAGTATGGCATTGAGAAAGATGAGCAGAGCCACCTTTATGCCCGCCAACAGCCATGAGCCTCCCTTTTCATTTCCAGACCTCTAGAAATCTGTCTGCATCAACAAAATACCAGCTAGTACACATCTTTGCCTCTATGACTATTTGTATTTTATTTCTTTGCATAGAATAACGCTTCCCGGACATGGGTGGTTTTGTTACGCTCCCATTGGGTGATCTCTGGGGACACTTTGGGTTATAGAAAATGGACAGTTGGACTGGCATCAGATGGGTAGAGGCTGGGGCTGCTGCTAAACACCCCACAATGCACAGCAAGTGTGTCTTTCCTGAGATTCACCCACTGACTTGAAATTGGTGGCAATGCTTCAACATTTGAGTTCTTCAGGGTGGTGCTGAGTGGTGTTCTGGGGTTAGCTACTCCCCAGTGTGGCTCTAGTATATCAGTGGTATAGTTTGGTGGAAAGTCGAGTCTGCTATCTCAGAAGGTCACAATCAAGGGACGTTTTTTTAGTCACCAAAGAGTGGTAGATCACACCTAATTAATACTAACTGCTTAACTGGATGGCTCCAAGTCCTTTCCCCACCATCCTTCCACACCCCTCAGGCAGGCAGAGCTGAGATTATACAGAGCCCCTCAGGTGCAAAGCTGGGTTTTCTGAGCCCAGGGGATGCACTTTCTGCCTTGACAGGTTCCCTGCAGCTCTGAGACAAACTTATGAAGAGGTTCTTAGTGTTCCCACCTTGGGTGTAATCTGGAAGCCCCTCTCTCCCTCCTTGCTCCATCCTACAAACATGGCCCTTGGGGACAGCTCTTATGCCTTCAGTGAGCTTTATCATTGATCTTAATGAGAAATATGAACACACTTTCCCTCTCTCAAGGGGGTTTGGAGGCTGCAAGCCATGTGATAGCTGTAGCAGTGTCCAGAACACTCTACGAGGCAAGGTAGCTTAGGAGGAGATGGAGATTTTAGCAGCTAAAGTTACTCCTGTCACTGTAAGAGGTACATTCCTATCCTGACTTTAATACGAAATGTTTTCAGAAAATTCAAACACCCATTCGCCACACAATAGCAAAGCATGAGAATGAAGTTTCTCTCTTAGTCATAAGTAATTGAGACAATGGCACAGGTGCAGTGGCTGTGAGGGTGCCAGGCCACATAAGGAGAGCCACGAACAGCACCTGTGACACAAGGATGTTCCATGACACTGATTCTCAGGCCTTGACTTTTTAAAAAATGACCTATTGAGCAACAGACATTAAGCTTATTCTGTAATGTATCCTTTCAGAAGTAGTCTTCAGCATTGGATGAAAAAAAAAATAGAGATACAATTCTCTACTTAAAAAAAAATTCCATAAGAATACTGCATAAAATAATTCAGACAGTGACTAAAAGGTGCCCAAACCCTGACTGCAAAGAGACTGATTGTTTTCATTTGCATTGATTTCATTTTCTAGGACATTTATTAGAATCAGGATATGGGCATCACTGAAAAATGGTACTGTGGGTTCCACCCACCACCAGAGTCTTTGGGGCTGGTTGCAGTTACAGCACCTGATCCATGGGAGGGGCAAGTGACAAACAATGGCAACTTGGTGGCTCAGCTTGCTCCTCTGTGGGAAAGATATGAAGACTTCTGTGCGTACCAGATGTGCTCAGACCCTCATTCCTCTGTCCTCAGTGGCACCTGCCAGGGCCTTTAGTTGTCTTTTCTGCCCCACTGGATTGAAGATGCTTGGAGACTAGGAGGTCTTATCCTTCCATCTCCCAACACCAGACACACAGCCTGGCCTATTGCAGCTGGCATCTTTGATCTCTAGCTTTCAAGGCTGATCGTTTTTCAGCTAGGTCTTATTTTCTGAGAAACACAGTACATACCCAATCAATAGGAGACTTGTTTATGAAGTCACATGACTTCCATACAAAGGAATTCTGTTAGATGAGGGGACCACTCTGATGTCTGCCAAGGAAAGCTGCAAAGGATATGAACTTTTGTTTAAAAAGAAGTTTTAGATGCATGGAAAAGTTCTAGGAGGCTCTCATAGCAGTCAATCTTTGCAGTGACCATCAACGATCCATGTCTCTTGTGCAGCCTCCTCCTTTGAATATGGGTGGGACTAGGTGACCTGCTTCTTGTGAGCAGGATACAGTGGAAGTGATGGAATGTTATCCTAGATTATAGAACTACAGTGCCCATATGTCTAGAAACACAAGGGGCCTCTGCTTTTGGCCACAGGCTCTCAGTCCAACAGCCTGGGAGATACCAAGACTTGGCAACAACTGTGCAAATGAACTTGAAGCAGACGTTCTTTAACTGAACCTTCAGGCAGATGGTTATCTGTACCACAACCTAATGAAAGGCCTGGAGTT